CTCAGAGTCCCCTGTACCTTCATGTTCCTCTAGGACATGTCGTTCATTCCCTAGATTGGTAGCTGGCCTGGGTCGTGGGAGGGAATCGAGTCTTTCAGAAACCATTGGGTCATTGATCTTCGAGCATATGTGGAGGGGATTCTCTCGACGTTACTTTAGGAAGTCTCGGCAGTCACGATAAATGGCTTTCTATCCTTCCAACCCTTCTGCAAAGAGATGTCTTCCTCTACTTCTCCTGCTTTGGGTCGAAGCAGCTGGGTTGAGAGAAGTCTTATGTTGATCAATGTTTTGATGATTAGATCGCTCCTCATTAGGGATACCCATGTCGAAGGAAGGTGACCCTCCGTGTTGGGGGGCACCCAGATGATGGTTGATGTCCACAGGGGCAACAAGCTCGCGTGTTTGGGTACACATAGTTTCATGGAGCGTCTCAAAGAGTTTCTCATACTACTCCTGAAGGACTTCATTCTTTATTGCTATCTTGTTGTTTTGAGTTTCTAGATCATCGACTGTAGCTTGAAGAGCAACCCTCTTTCCTTCATTCTTTCGTTGCTTTGCACTAGGTGCAAGAGGGGTGTCATTCTGTGTGTTGTGGCTTCATTCGCTCCCTATGTTGGAGAGGGATGCCTGGTCAAAAGAGAGTGTACGAATGGTGGAAACCAGCTTGACAAAGCTGAAGAAAGTGGGAATAAGTGTCTTTCCCACAGACGACGCCAAATTTTGATGCACAAAATCAGTGAGGACTTTGGTACAACAGAAAGTGTTAAGTTTGTGACATTCGCTAGATTGCTCCGGTCACTAGTGTGGATAAGTATGTAAATGGATAAAGACAGGGAAGTAAACACAAGATGTACGTGGTTCACCCAGATTGGCTACGTCCACAGAGTAGAGGAGTTTTCATTAATTGTGAAGGGTTTACACAAGTACATAGGTTCAAGCTATCCTTTTATGAGTACTAGTGAATGATTTAGTACAAATGACATTAGACAATATTGTGAGAGAATGATCTCTATTTATAGAAAAGAGTTTCTAGTTTCATTCTGACATTGACACGTGTCGTGTTATGATTGGCTTTTGATGTTGACACATGTCGTGCTATGATTGGCTTCTGATGTCGACACGTGTCGCACTGTGATTGGCCTCCTGGTTGGAGGGAAACTCTTCTGGGTCCTTGACGGTATAACGTTGATCGGTGCTCAGTAGTTTCGGGATTGGTCAAGTATGGTACAAACAGGATATAACGAAAAAATATGGACTGTTAGATCAATTTCAAAAGATTGTAAAAAAATGAGTTTGATTTGAAATGTTGATAACCATTAGTCCAGAAATCGAAAGACCCAAATTTACCCAAGGTTATCGCTGACTAATTGGGGTCCCTACCATGTGGGGCCCAACTGTCAACCACTTAGTTTTTATATTATTAACCAACTTGAAAAGGTGGGGCCCACTCAAAATTTGTGTGAGCCAAATATGAACACAAATTATACTCTTCTAAAAGTTGGTAGATGGGCACTGTTCATTAATAGTGCCCACCCGATTTTGTCCCTCATTCTTTTCATGGTTTTTCAGTTTTAGGGGGTTGTATGGTGAATTGGCCATTTTGCCCCTCTCTCATTTTTCTTCCTATGCATGCGTGTGGTGTTTTCTAGTTTTGGGTCTAAACTTAAATTTTTTTAGGAGAAATGCTAAGAGGATTCTCTCAAAAGTGTAATTCTCTATACATTATAACGGTGGATTCACAATCAGCTTGTCGAAATATCCTAAGAAGGGTCCCGAACAATTTCCGTAAAAAGTCAACGACAAGTCAACGATCAACCAAAACTCAACCAAGCTGTCAAGGCGGTCAACTACGTTAAAACTTTGAATTTTCACTAAATGGATTCCAAAATCGGACGAAAGGCATTGACATTAACCTGGGAAGGTTTTTGAGAAAATTTCGAAAAACCAACAAAAGTCAACTGTCAACAGTTAATTTTAACAAAATATTCCAAAGAAATATTCCCGCCGAATTCAAAAATAGGTCTAGGTTGGTTTCGCTGATCTGGGTTCAGATACGGTTCAGATCCAGGCTGGGATCCGGTTTTGGGCTATCGGGTCGAGTTAACCTGTTTGGGCTCGTGGGTTGATTCAGATCCAGGTTGGGATCCGGGTTTTAGGCTATCGGGTTGAGTCAACCTGTTTGGGCTCGTGGGTTGCACCAGCTAGACCCAACGAAGGAGAAAGCCATATTTCGAAGGGATTTGGCCGAAAAAACTTGCCGAACACCGTTATGGGTCCAAATCTTAATCATTATCAACATACTATATATTATATATGGATTTTAAGCTACGGAAGAGTTAGGAATATACCAATATGGGGATGAGTAGTGGCCGGAAATAGCCGGGAAATGGCTTGCAAAACTCACGGACTTCGCCAGAATTTGGGAAATAGTTTCCCCGAGTTGGTTCTGCGTTCAAACATCACTAAAAATCCTAAAAATTTCCTTAATCGTACTCCAAGACAAGATCTAAGAAGTTCTTGAGGGTTTTCGAAGCTTACCTTTGTCAGGAATGATGATAATTTGCCAGAGAAAATGTTGAATAGTGGTGGTGCCACTATGCAGAGAGGAGAGAGAGAGAAGTGACCAGTCTATGGCTCGGGTTCGTGACATAGATGGTTAGGTGGTGTTGCAGTGGTGCTCGTCGGAGTGGCGATGTTGTGGTGGTTCTTGGTGTTCGCTGGGTTTCACAGATGGAGAAGAATGAGAGATAAGAGAGAGACGAGGATGTTGAAGGAAGAGAGAGTTTGAGAGAGTCTCGAGAGTTTGGGGAAAAAGTGACATATGGCTGAGATGGAGAAGAAAGCTTTGGTGAGGTGTGGGCAATATCCAACCAGGAGTTATTAAAATAATCAAGGACCAAAACTCTAAAATGCAAAATTACTAAAGTACCATCACGTTCGTAGTTTCGTAAAATCTTTCAAATTTGATTTTGCTTGCGCCTACGCGTTTGTAGCGACTAATAGAACCCTTGTTATAACCTTGCACCTGTATGCTAATATTCCTCTCTGAACTACAATATTACTTCAACAATTGTTATTACAAATCATGCCCTAGCATTGCACAAGTGACTAGTATTAATACCATACTCACAAGCTAAGGCCAACACATGATATTTCCAATATCTAATCCTTATCTAACAATCATTATCGTTTCCTAACAAACATTATCTTTACCAAACAAACATTAACCCAATGACTACAAGACACTTGGCAATAGACAAGATCACCATATCACACATTTTCTTGTACCATTACAGTATTCTATCAGTGTGGAGTACTACATAAATACGCTAAAAGAATGGGTCATACGGCCGATTATACAGTGGTCAAATTAGGAATTGTGTCAAATTAGGAACGGGTTATTACATCCTACATCACTATTCACGTCTTTGGTATATTTTTAATGCTGCAACTCAACGGTTAGAGTTATTTTCTTACATGCTTAAATGATGCTAATGAATTTCGTTAGGCCTTCGATAGTGGGTGAGAAAATTGAGTACAGTACCACTGTAGCAATAGTGTAATACACAATAACGGAGTCAACGTTACAAGGAAAGGAGGGGGCTTTTAGAGTAATCTTAACAAAAATTAATGACCTCTTAAATTTAATGGAGAGAATAAATTATTTTACAAACCCAGGCAACTAGGGGTGGGTTCAAAAAACCGAAAACCGAAAAAAACCGAAAACCAAACCGAACCGAAACCGAAAAAATCGAACCAAACGAAAAAACCGAACCGAACTGAATTCTTTTGGTTCGGTTCGGTTTTAGTGATCTAGAAACCGAACCGAACTGAATTAATTAAATTAATTTTTTTATTTAATTATTTGTTTTGGGTATTATTTTCTAAACCCAATTTGTAAGTTAAAATGTGCTAAACCCAATGTGTTGCTAAACTTTAAGCTCAAAATATTTAAAAAATGCCTATAAAAACTCTAAACCCTAACCTATTATTTCTCCCCCATATAAGGTTCCGGAACCAAACCTCCTCCTGAAGTACCTACATCTATCTCCATAGCACTGTCTACTTCTGCCCTAGCTTTCTTTTCCAGATCTACTCTCATATAACATGTAACAGAATCCATAAACATTTATTTCGGGTAGATTACTTGGGTAATTTGTGATGGAAAAGAATCCAACACACACTAAATAAATCCACCCACGCATTACTTTTACTAATCAAGTTGTCAACATGCAGTTACAAGTAAACAACCCTGATCTTTGAACAACATCATACAATTAAACTTTTCTAAGTCATTTGTACGATTTTTGTGTTGTGAGGTTGTTAGTTTGGACTTTGGAAGACTTGATTGATGATTTTAGTTCAACTTTAAATGTTTATTTTCCTTGTCTTTGATTTTAGTTAGAATGCTTATGTTATGATTGTGTTGGATATGTTCAAATTTAAAATTTAAATGTTTTTCATTTTTTGAAAAAATAAAAAACAAAAAACCGAAACCGAACCAGAAAAAACCGAAAAAAAAATGAACCGATCCGAACCGATTTAAACCGAACCCACCCCTACAGGCAACCAAGTAAATTTTAAAATACCAGGTGTTTAAAACTTAAGCTGACCACATAAGCAAGTCATCATATTGGATAGTCACTAGTATTATCCATGACTTAATAAGGTAAGTGAAAGGACATTGTTATAGTAGGTGGGTAAATTAAACACCACTCTTCTTATTTGTAGACATCACACTCACCTTAGGTTGCAATTGTATCGCATCTTGTATAGCAGCAATGTCCCGTGCACGAAAAATGATCCTTGCCGGATCATTTTTCTGGGGATCCTTGTGACGGTTTATTGTATATTGTGCGGTCAGAAATCATTTCAAAATTAAAAATTAAAAATTAAATATAAATAGTACCTAACGAAAACTGACTGCATTATGTACGATGAACGGTCACGATCACAGAATCCTTACAAAAAGGATCCGGACCGTGGACTCCCCAAATTCCTGCCCAACCATAGCGAGTAGACACTCAAGTCCTACTCTCCAGCGAGTATCGTCCGTACAATCCATTTCACTCCCTCGGAAATCGATTTAAAACACACACCCCACCCTGATTTCATGACCTTCACGCTGTCTCTCTCTCCGCAGTCTCAGACACGCACACAGCGTTTCACTGCGGCTGCTTGTGCTGTAAGCTATGGAGGAGTACTCGGTGGACGACCCAACTCAGCTACTCCAAGCCGCTTCCCATTTCGAAAATTACCCCGGTGAGCACTAACCACCTCCACTCGCTTTCGTTCCAGTTTTTCTCAACACATTTTTTGAACAGATATCACTGTTTTTTCGCAGGTCTTCAAAACGACGATTCAGCTAAAGAATTTCTCGATTCTTCCCTCTTCCCGTCCTTCTCAAGTAACCCTTGTCGCTTCTACCCATAGCTTGTTTTCCAAGTTTTTGTGCTGCTCTTCAATTTTCGTCATTTTTCTTCAATTTTCTTTCGTTTTCGTTTCGAATTTTGGCAAAAAGTCCTCACTTACCCTAAAACCTGAACTTGAACTTCGTCTGAATAATTTTGTTTTGTTTCCCGCTTGCGGTGCTTTGCAAACCAAAGCTGATGTGCGCGGTCTGGAAAGCACATTGGTTGTTGTTTTGGAAAGGGTTTTCATGACGAAATATGGGAGATGGGGCTTCTCTCATCCCCCAGTATACGGTATGCCCTCATTTTCTGTGCTAACTGATTGCATGTCGCTGATGGATTTATTCGTGTTCTTGTGAAAAATGAAAGAGGGGTTGTCTTGAATTTGAATAGGATACAGCTAATTTAGGGGTGAGGATCGGAGATCAGAAAGTACCAAAGAGTGATTGCTTTCGCTACCTAGGGTCTATCTTGTAAAAGGATGGAGAATTTGATGGACACCTCAACCATAGAATATAGGGAAATTTAACGAAAAGCATCCGGTACTGTTCAGTTTAACGAAAAATCACATTTTTACACTAAAGAGTCAATCCTGGTACTATTCACTTTACTCTTTATTTTGTCTTTATCGTTAAAACTCAAAGTTTTCAAGTCATTTTCATTAGTTTTTTTTAGAATATAAGTTGGATGGATGAAGTGGAAGAGTGCATCCAACGTGTTGTGTGACCGTCGTATGCCACTGAAGCTCAAGTCAAAATTTTATAGGATGCCAATAAGGCCAGCGATGCTGTATGGTGCAGAATGTTGGGTAGTGAAGCATCAACACGTACATAAAATTGGTGTAGCAGAGATGAGGATGCTTCGTTGGATGTGTGGGTACACTAGAAAGGATAAGATTTGGAATGAGGATATCCAAGATAAAGTAGGAGTAGCCGAAATTGAAGGAAAGATGAGAGAAAATCGGTTACGGTGGTTTGACGATGCGACTACGGGACAGAGGTCTAGGGCCGAAGGGGTAGAAGGAGACTTTGGAAAAAACTCTAAGAAAAGACTTAGAGTACTTGGATCTAACGGAGGACATGACATAGAACCGAGCGCAATGACGTTCTAGGATTCATATAGCCGACCCCACTTAGTGGGAAAATGCTTTGTCGTTGTTGTTGCACCTTTAAAGTCTTCTTATTATGATGTATCCGAATGCCAATGCGTTGCTCCGAGAACATGTTGCTCTGGGTCAATCAAATAATGGACATTAACCATAGTACAAACCCAATTAGTCCTCATAAACAAAGCCGATTTTTGTACTTATTGTGTGCGTCTCTTGATTCTTAAACATTTCTCTTTGCTTTTCTTCAGTCATTTGTACAAGCTAGTCTGATGGCAGAGTCTCAGGAAGTCAATTCTTTAGCTTGTAAAACGGTATATTTATGAAAATTTCTTGTGCATCTTTTGCTTTATGTTGAGATTCTCGAGTCGTATTGTTCATAATTAGAGAATGTATCTGTTTGTTTTGGATTTGCATATTTTCTTTCAATTTGTTTTTCGGGGGAGTTGAAACTTACGTAAGTAACGGACAAATTTATTGGCTAGTTTAACCTGGTGTTATGACAACAACCTTCAGGTTTCTTGCCTTCTGGAGAATTCGAATGAAGGTTCTGTTTCTGCAACACGCTTTACAGTTGACCACAATATATATCCTCTCTTGCTTGATTGCCTCATTCATGGGTAAGGTTCAAATTATAAGTTGAAGATCGATACTTGGATTTTTTATTATCTTTTAATTATCTTTCTTTTCTTTTTGGGAAAACTATTTCTAGTTTTCATTATTTGCCTTTATCTTTGAAGTCCATGATAATGTGTTTCTTCTGGTGTTTAGTTATGAAAAAGTTGCAACTCTAGCAATGGATGCAATAGAGAATATAGCTGGTTCTCCCGCAGGCATAGTATGGACATCACATTTACTGTTTTACTCTTTATTTAACTTTTGATCTCCTTAAATGTTGTTTTAATGAATACCCGCACTGTGATAACTCGAGAAAACCCTTGCTGTCAATATGTAGGATATCGTTTTGTCAGCTAATACTAAAGAAGTTACACATCTTGGAGCTTTAGCAGCCCAATTCTCTTCACTGGTAGGGTGATTGTTACATTTGTGATTTATGGATGTATAGTTAAAACTTTCCTGAAATTTGGCAGTTATTTTAGGGAATGAACGAACTGTAAAAGAAAGCCTATTATCAGCTATGCTGGTCCTTCGTATTTTTCTGTTACACAACATTGTAGTGATACTTGACTAATTTGTGTTGTTGACATGTGCATCAGAGGCATCTCATTAAAGTGGTTGTAAGAAGTTGGGGATAGTTTTATCCATTTATATAGATGTCCAATTTTAGACAGTCAGATGAAAAGTTTTTCTATGCATTTACAATCTCCGTAAGGACTTCCATGTACATTGATATTAGTCATGTATGCTACTGTGGTGTTTCTGATTTTAGATGATTTTAGATTATTTGCTGATTTTCTCTGCTTATGTTTTTTAAAGAAAAATCATATGAATGTTTTGCAGGGATGGGTCCGGGTTCTGGCTTTGATAGTGAGGCTATTTTCTATCTCCCCACGCGCCAACGTGGCATTAGTAGTCCAGAAGTCAAATCTACTTGGACTTTTTGAGGCAAAAATCAAGAACAATGATACCCTTTCAACATTGAGCATTTTGGAGGCTTTGTATGAGGTTGGCCGTTGATCATCTACACACCTTTCCCTCTCTCCTCACGCACAACCCGTTAAACTATCTATTTTGGAAGCTCCACCTCCCATATTAGCTCCTTTGGTGCTCCATTTCGTGCCATATACTGATCATAATTTTCTAGAAGTTCTGTATTAAAATTCAGATCAGATATGCAGAATAACTAAGCATACATAAATTTTATGAAGATGAAAAAATCAGGTCAACTACTTTGTTCTAGGGCCAATGTTTAGTACAATGCTTAAGAGAAATGTGGCCTTTAATTTGTATGTATTATCTCCAAGTGAATGGCATCTATCTTCTTAAGTTCACTCATTTTTTTGTTTACAATCCAATCAATTCAAAATTCAAAATTTCTGGTATTGTTTTCTTTTGATAGTCTCGTTTCCTTGCTTAAAACCTTATATTGAGACGTTCTTGTTGTATGTGCTCAAATGATAAAGTTGTCAGAGATCGAGCATGGTAGAGAGTTTTCGACCCTTCTGCAACTGCTAAGCTCTGTAATCAGGTGCTTAAACAACATTTTCTGCTATCTGTTTCATTTTGAATACTCTGTATCGCCTAAAGTCTTATAGACAGAAGTGACGCAGCATGATATCGTTGTATAACTTTTCTAGCAACAAATCAATGGAGTCGATTTTAAGAACAGGGGCAAAGGCGGTTAGTGGAAGACTTCTGTCCAAGGAGAATTACATACTAGCTGATGAATTAAGTAAGTCTTAACAGACTTGGAAATTTGTAATATGATGAATAATATCTACTTGCATCATTCCAGATTATCATAACACCATTGTTTTTTCCTTTCACCCTGCATATAAGATGCCCTGGAGTCTGGTGCCTGCATTATTTCTGGCTCATTTGGTAGCTTTTTTACCTGTATTTCAAGGACAGATATCATGCTTAATTTTAGTGCTGCACTGCTGTTAAGGCACCTGTCATACCATTTTCTGACCCAGAGAAAAAGAAGAAGAGAGTCTTCTTTAGTGGACACCCTTATATTTTGTTTCAGTTTTTGGCTAGCTTGGTTGCTTGCTTGCATTTATCCAAAGGAATCAAAGCTACCTCCAAACCTCCAGTTGCAATTGGCCCCCATTTTCCCTATTAGGTTTGAAAGAGAGCACTAACATAATATCTTGGACCATGATATGCCACTCAAATCATTTATTTATCCAGCGTATATGACATTAGGTGAAATTGCTATATATATATATATATATATGTTATTTATTTCTTCTGTCGCATGCTATTTATTCTCTTTTGAAAATGGGGACATCTTAAATGATTTCAAGGGGTAGACTTTGAGATTTGTTACTTCAAAAAAATATATTATTGCTATACCAAAGATCATAAAGTGGTCACAAATTGCTTTTGATAATAATTTTGATTTTGCAGGTGTAAAAACTGTATTATCAGCCATAGACAGGATACTTAGTTCAACCGGAACTCAAGAAATAGACGAATGTGAACCTGCTCTTGAAGCACTGGGTCAAATACAGTCATGTAAGTACGCCTGTACCCTCTCTAGGCTTGGCAAATGGTTTTTATAACATGAAAATATCTACCTATCATCATCATCATCATCAAGAAGTTTATATTTCTACCTGGTTTTTTGGGATGATCTTAGCAATTCAAGGAGCACAGTTTCTATTGTCAAGTTATCCACCAGCTGCAAGACATGTTATCTATACTGCTTTTGATAGGCAAGGACGTGGTAAATAACTGGTTAGTAAATCTGCCTTTTCGCTTTATGGCTTTAAGTTCTCCAGCCCTCTTTTTCTATGCAAATTTTTTATGTTCGATATCATGTTTTAATTTGCCAATTTGATTGAAACCGAAAAGCTTCTCCTATATCAAAGGGTGGGTGGGTGGGGGTGTGTGCGTGTATGTCTTTAGTATATAGCTAACCCTGTACTATACAACAACAACAACAACAACAACAACAAAGCCTTTTCCCACTAAGTGGGGTCGGCTATATGAATCCTAGAACGCCATTGCGCTCGGTTTTGTGTCATGTCCTCCGTTAGATCCAAGTACTCTAAGTCTTTTCTTAGAGTCTCTTCCAAAGTTGTCCTAGGTCTTCCTCTACCCCTTCGGCCCTGAACCTCTGTCCCGTAGTCACATCTTCGAACCGGAGCGTCAGTCGGCCTTCTTTGCACATGTTCAAAATCACCGGAGCCGATTTTCTCTCATATTTCCTACAATTTCGGCTACTCCTACTTTACCTCGGATATCCTCATTCCCAATCTTATCCTTTCTCGTGTGCCCACACATCCCACGAAGCATCCTCATCTCCGCTACACCCATTTTGTGTACGTGTTGATGCTTCACCACCCACATTCTGTGCCATACAACATCGCTAGCCTTATTGCCGTCCTATAAAATTTTCCCTTGAGCTTCAGTGGCCTACGACGGTCACACAACACGCCGGATGCACTCTTTCCATCCAGCTCGTATTCTATGGTTGAGATCTCCATCTAATTCTCCGTTCTCTTGCAAGATAGATCCTAGGTAGCGAAAACGATCGCTTTTTGTGATCTTCGCTAGATTGCTCCGGTCATTAGTGTGGATAAGTATATAAATGGATAGAGATAGGAAAGCAAACACAAGATGTACGTGGTTCACCCAGATTGGCTACGTCCACGGAATAGAAGAGTTCTCATTAATTGTGAAGGGTTTACACAAGTACATAGGTTCAAGCTCTCATTTAGTGAGTACAAGTGAATGATTTAGTACAAACGACATTAGGAAATATTGTGGGAGAATGATCTCGTAATCACGAAACTTCTAAGTATCGGAGTGTGGTGTCGTCTTGACTTGCCTTATCTGTCTCATAGGTAGATGTGGCATCTTCTCTGGAAGTACTCTTCCTCCATCCAGGGGTGGTATCTTTAACTGGTGGAGATGCACAAGGTAATGTATCAATTTCACTTGAAGCTTACTTGTAGTTTCAGGCTTGGTCAAGCGCGATACAAACCATGTAGTAGGAGTCCCCCAAGTCGCCGAGCTAGGGGGTCTGCTGAAAGAGGTGACAGACAAGGTAAGCAATCAGAGCTCCGACTGATTGTTCACCTTCTCCCCATCTTGCAGCAGCATGAAGGATAAAGAGAAGAAAAATGAGAAGAGATGATATGAGATACTTTTGCTTTTGAAGAAGTAACTTTCCACAGGCTTATTCTTGAACTGAGCTGGAGGGTTTTCTGGTTTCCTCCAGAGTATAAGGCCGATTGAAGAAGTTGAGGGTCAAAACAAGTCCATCAAATCTAGAGTACGTTCCACCCTGCTGATATGGGATACTTTTGCTTTTGACAGAGTAATGAATGTATCGGCACGTGTGCTGTTACGCTTGTCTCCACATGCTTCCTTGTATCCTTCGCACTTGCCCTATCTGTTCCTCAAGCAGATGCGGAATCTTCCCTGGAAACATAAGATGTTGAAGATGAGTACTCGAGAGCAATGCCAGGTAAGTAATCAGGTAAGGGGTTCCAGGCAGTCAGTTCCTGGCTGGAAGCTTGATTCCAAGTGCTGACTGATTGCTCTCTTTCTCCTTGTCTTGCAGGTAAAAACAAGGCCAAAAGAAAAGACAGGGAAAAAGCATGATATGGGATACTCTTGCTTTTAACCCTGATGATATGAGATATTCTTGCTCTAGTATAGCTTGTTTGCAAAGGTATTATCGGGGGGAAAGAAAGCTGAATATTTCGAAAGGCTTCGTTGGGAGTGCCCTCTCAGATATGATGAAGGGTTGAGCATTTTTGCAGGTCTGCCTGTCCGTTGGGGATGGAGGTCGACATATATAGGAGTCTCCCTAACAACAAGTAGTAATGCTATTCCTTTACCCTGCTTGGTCATAGCACGGTAGTGGGAGCTGCCAGTTTCACATGTTTTAACTCTGTCAGAGCACTTTGAAAAAGTGGTCTGTGGTATCTGGCTCTCGAGATTCGGAGAACGATGCCTCTTCGATTTTTGAGAAAGCAATCATGCTGGGGGTATGACTCTCGAGATTCGGAGAGCAGTGTCTCTTCGATTTTTGAGGAAGTAATCATGTTGGGAGTCTGGCTCTCGAGATTCGAAGGGCGGTGCCTCTTCGATTTTGGAGCAAGCAATCTTGTTGGGAGTGTTGTCTCGAATGTGAGTAAAGGTTGGGCATGTTTGCTAGTCTACCTTGCCACGAAGCACAAAGGTTGACACACAGGGACTTTCCAATTATCCAGCAATGGTACTGTTCCTTTACCCTCTCTTCGATTTTGAGAAAGTAGTCATGTTGGGAGTCTGGCTCTCGAGATTCGGAGGACGGTGCCTCTTCGATTTTGGAGCAAGCAATCTTATTGGGAGTGTTTTCTCGAATGTGAGTAAAGGTTGGGCATGTTTGCTAGTCTACCTTGCCACGAAGCACAGAGGTTGACACACAGGGACTTTCCAATTATCCAGCAGTGGTACTGTTCCTTTACAGTTGTGGGTAATAATATGGTAGCTAGACCTTCAAAAATTTATGTGTCTAAACTTTTGTTAGTGCTGTTTCTTTGCTATTCTTTTATTCTTTTACCTTTCTTGGTCAGAGCGATGTAGTGGGAGCTGCAAGCTTCACGTGCTCAACTTTGGCAGAGAACTTTGGCAAAGTTATTTGTGGTACCCATGAGCTATTGTTGCGTGTGGGAAGTGGGTGATTGAACAGTAAGATTCATGTGCTTTCTACTTCACCAGAAGTCTTCGACAGAATGCCCATAATTTCTGCAAAGCTGAGTGTGCGTGTGACAGGTGCTGACAAGGCTAGAAAAGTAGGTGCCTCTTCGATTTCTGAGATCGGCCCTCGTGGTCTCTGAGCAGCCCAGCTTTTGAGAAAGCGAGCGCCTCTTCGATTGATTCGGAGAACGATGCCTCATCGATTTTTGAGAAAGCAATCATGCTGGGGGTCGGGCTCTCGAGATTCGGGGAGCAGTGTCTCTTCGATTTTTGAGAAAGTAATCATGTTGGGAGTCTGGCTCTCGAGATTCGGAGGGCGGTGCCTCTTCGATTTTGGAGCAAGCAATCTTGTTGGGAGTGTTTTCTCGAATGTGAGTAAAGGTTGGGCATGTTTGCTAGTCTACCTTGCCACGAAGCACAGAGGTTGACACACAGGGACTTTCCAATTATCCAGCAATGGTACTGTTCCTTTACCCTCTCTTCGATTTTTAAGAAAGTAGTCATGTTGGGAGTCTGGCTCTCGAGATTTGGAGGACGGTGCCTCTTCGATTTTGGAGCAAGCAATCTTATTGGGAGTATTTTCTCGAATGTGAGTAAAGGTTGGGCATGTTTGCTAGTCTACCTTGCCACGAAGCACAGAGGTTGACACACAAGGACTTTCCAATTATCCAGCAGTGGTACTGTTCCTTTACCCTTGTGGGTAATAATATGGTAGCTAGACCTTCAAAATTTATGGGTCTAAACTTTGTTAGTGCTGTTTCTTTGCTATTCTTTTACCCTTCTTGGTCAGAGCGATGTAGTGGGAGCTGCAAGCTTCACGTGCTCAACTTTGGCAGAGAACTTTGGCAAAGTTATCTGTGGTACCCATGAGCTATTGTTGCGTGTGGGAAGTGGGTGATTGAACAGTAAGATTCATGTGTTTTCTACTTCCCCAGAAGTCTTTGACAGAATGCCCATAATTTCCGCAAAACTGAGTGTGCGTGTGACAGGTGCTGACAAGGCTGGAAAAGGCTGGAAAAGTAGGTGCCTCTTCGATTTCTGAGATCGGCCTCGTGGTCTCTGGGGAGCCCAGCTTTTGAGAAAGCGAGCGCCTCTTCGATTTTTGAGATCGGCCTTCGTGGTCTTTGAGCAGCCCAACTTTTGAGAAAGCAAACGCCTCTTCGATTTCTGAGATCAACCCTCGTGATCTCTAAGCAGCCCAGCTTTTGAGAAAGCAAACGCCTCTTCGATTTCTGAGCAGGCGCCTCTTCGATTTCTGAAGCTTCGTCGAGTGCAGATTTTTATAGGGGCTGGCATTAAGTTCCAAAGCACACTTGAATCTCCACCAGTAGAAGCTTCATTCTTGCACTTCTAAGATCTTGATTTGTCCGACCTCTTCTCTCTTCAACACCTTTGAAAATGTCTGGCCCCTCCGACCGTCGTTTTGACTTGAACCTTGTTGAAGAGGCAGCCCCGCCTTCTCCAGACAACATATGGCGCCCATCCTTCGTCTCCCCTACTGGTCCTCAGAGATTTGTGGGTTTGTTCCAAAGGCATTTATTGCCTTCGTCTTCTGGGGCTGTACCGCGTAATGAAGCTCCAAATGATCAACCTCTGATGCCTCCTCCTTCTAGGGTTCTGTCCAGTACTGAGGCTCCAAATGATCCCCCTCCGGTGCCTTCTCTTTCTGGGGCTCTACCGACTGCTGAGACTTCTCCTAAGCAACCTTTGTGAATGCTCCCTCTTGTGTGCTTATTTTGACTCATGTATATGTACATATTTGTAGCTTATCGGGGATATCAATAAATAAGCTTTCCTTCATTTCAACGTATTGTGTTAAATACACCAAAGCCTTCTTCGCTAAGTTCTTTGAATTTTCTTTTGTTAAAGCTTGTATGTTGAAGCTTTCTGAGTGGAGCATGTAGGTTGGGGTAGTGTTCCCTTAATTTCCCGAGTGAGGAAAACTTCTCGGTTGGAGACTTGGAAAATCCAAGTCACTGAGTGGGATCGGCTATATAAATCTTAGAACGCCATTGTGCTCGATCCTGTGTCATGTCCTTCGTTAGATCTAAGTACTCTAAGTCTTTTCTTAGAGTCTCTTCCAAAGTTTTCCTAGGTCTTCCTCTACCCCTTCGGCCCTGAACCTCTGTCCCATAGTCGCATCTTCTAATCGGAACGTCAGTAGGCCTTCTTTGCACATGTCCAAACCACCGTAACCGATTTTCTCTCATCTTTCCTTCAATTTCGGCTACTCCTACTTTACCCCGGATATCCTCATTCCTAATCTTATCCTTTCTCGTGTGCCCACACATCCAACGAAGCATCCTCATCTCCGCTACACCCATTTTGTGTACGTGTTGATGTTTCACCGCCCAACATTCTGTGCCATACAGCATCGCCGGCCTTATTGCCGTCCTATAAAATTTTCCCTTGAGCTTCAGTGGCATACGGCGGTCACACAACACGCCGGATGCACTCTTCCACTTCATCCATCCAGCTTGTATTCTATGGTTGAGATCTCCATCTAATTCTCCGTTCTTTTGCAAGATAGATCCTAGGTAACGAAAACGGTCGCTCTTTGGTATTTCTTGATCTCCGATCCTCACCCCTAACTCGTTTTGGCCTCCATTTGCACTGAACTTGCACTCCATATATTCTGTCTTTGATCGGCTTAGGCGAAGACCTTTTAGATTCCAACACTTCTCTCCAAAGGTTAAGCTTTGCATTTACCCCTTCCTGAGTTTCATCTATCAACACTATATATCGTCTGCGAAAAGCATACACCAAGGAATATCATCTTGAATATATCGTGTTAACTCATCCATTACCAACGCAAAAAGGTAAGGACTTAAGGATGAGCCTTGATGTAATCCTACAGTTATGGGAAAGCTTTCGGTTTGTCCTTCATGAGTTCTTACGGCAGTCTTTGCTCCTTCATACATATCCTTTATAGCTTGGATATATGCTACTCGTACTCCTTTCTTTCTCTAAAATCCTCCAAAGAATGTCTCTTGGGACCCTATCATACGCTTTTTCCAAATCTATAAAGACCATGTGTAAATCCTTTTTCCCATCTCTATATCTTTCCATCAATCTTCGTAAGAGATAGATTGCCTCCATGGTTGAGCGCCCTGGCATGAACCCGAATTGGTTGTCCGAAACCCGTGTCTCTTGCCTCAATCTATGCTCAATGACTCTCTCCCAGAGCTTCATTGTATGACTCATTAGCTTAATACCCCTATAGTTCATGCAATTTTGTACGTCGCCCTTATTCTTGTAGATAGGCACCAAAGTGCTCATTCGCCACTCATTTGGCATCTTCTTCGTTTTCAAAAATCCTATTGAAAAGGTCAGTGAGCCATGTTATACCTGTCTCTCCCAAAAGTTTCCACACTTCGATTGGTATATCGTCTGGGCCTATTGCTTTTTTATGCTTCATCTTCTTCAAAGCTACAACCACTTCTTCCTTCCGGATTCGACGATAAAAAGAGTAGTTTTCTACACTCTTCTGAGTTACTCAACTCCCCTAAAGAAGCACTCATTTCATGTCCTTCATTGAAAAGATTATGAAAATAACCTCTCCATCTGTCTTTAACCGCGTTCTCTGTAGCAAGAACCTTTCCATCCTCATCCTTGATGCACCTCACTTGGTTTAGGTCCCTTGTCTTCTTTTCCCTTGCTCTAGATAGTTTATAGATATCCAACTCTCCTTCTTTGGTATCTAGTCGTTTATACATATCGTCGTAAGCCGCTAACTTAGCTTCTCTGACAGCTTTCTTCGCCTCTTGCTTCGCTTTTCTATACCTTTCACCATTTTCATCAGTCCTCTCCTTGTATAAGGCTTTACAACATTCCTTCTTAGCCTTCACCTTTGTTTGTACCTCCTCATTCCACCACCAAGATTCCTTTTGGTGTGGGGCAAAGCCCTTGGACTCTCCTAATACCTCTTTTGCTACTTTTCGGATACAACTAGCCATGGAATCCCACATTTGGCTAGCTTCCCCCTCTCTATCCCACACACATTGGGTGATTACCTTCTCTTTGAAAATGGCTTGTTTTTCTTCTTTTAGATTCCACCATCTAGTCCTTGGGCACTTCCAAGTCTTGTTCTTTTGTCTTACTCTTTTGATATGTACATCCATCACCAACAAGCGATGTTGATTAGCCACGCTCTCTCCTGGTATAACTTTGCAATCCTTACAAGTTATACGATCCCCTTTCCTCATTAGAAGAAAATCTATTTGTGTTTTTGACGACCCACTCTTGTAGGTGATCACATGTTCTTCTCTCTTCTTAAAGAAGGTGTTGGCTAAGAAGAGATCATATGCCATTGCAAAATCCAAGATAGCTTCCCCATCCTCGTTTCTCTCCCCAAAACCATGGCCACCATGAAAACCTCCATAGTTGCCTGTCTCCCTGCCCACGTGTCCATTTAAATCTCCTCCTATAAATAACTTCTCCGTCTGAGCAATTCCTTGCACCAAGTCTCCAAGATCTTCCCAAAATTTCTCCTTCGAACTCGTATCCAACCCTACTTGAGGTGCGTACGCACTAATCACATTGATAAGTTCTTGTCCTATTACAATCTTGATTGCCATGATTCTATCTCCTACCCTCTTGACATCTACAACATCTTGTACCAAGGTCTTGTCCACGATGATGCCAACACCGTTTCTCGTTCTATTTTGTGCCCGAATACCAAAGTTTAAACCCTGAGTTTTCTAGATCCTTTGCCTTACTACCAACCCACTTAGTTTCTTGTAGGCACATAATATTTATCCTTCTCCTCACCATAACTTCCACTACTTCCATAGATTTTCCCGTTAAGGTTCCTATATTCCACGTTCCTAAACGCATTTTTGCTCTCTTGAACTCTACCCTTCTGTCCTAGCTTCTTCACCCTCCCCCGTCTAATAGGATCAAAGTACTTCTTTTGTGTGTCCCGGGTAAAGTTGATAGGAGCATATGCTCCCAAACAACTTTGAGTGGAGTCGTTCGAAAAGAAGTTTCTATGGCCCCCTTGCTCATTTAACACTGCATCCGGGTGCCGATGGAGATACAGCGACCCTTGCTCACTTATCACTGTGCTCAGGCCACACAGCGCGCCACTTACGGGTGACGCCCTAGCTTTAGCGCGATTTTGTTCTGGATTCATTTTCATAAGGATTCGACGTGATCATGGAGTGCCGGCTGTCGACTACCTGACGCCCTCCCCCTCCTCCTTTATCCGGGCTTGGGACCGGCCATGTAAGACATAGGCGGAGTTTAACCCTGTACTATAAGATCCAATATTAAAATGCTGTCACAGTAATGATTAGAACACTCATTAATCTTGGTCCCAGAAAGAGATACAGTGGTATAAGACAATCAACTTATTTAACTCCCCATTTTAGCTACTAACTAGCCGCCGTCTTTGTCTAATTGTAATGAAAGTACATGCAAGGAATACATGTGCACTAGCCGGCAGTCACTCAGTCGCCTTCATATGTATCTGTATGAATGGTCATGGTCATGAAATGTTTACAGTATACGTCGAATGTGAACAAAAACAGGAGGTAGTCTAGGTGGATTGACCTTCAAGCAAAATCAATACACTCCAGTTGCCCAATATGTACGCTTGGGAAAAGGATGTTCTCCTAGTTGAATTGGAAGGCTCTTGCTTGCCAAATATTATTTACATGTCAATCAATCAATTGTACGATTACACAAAATGGAAGTGTTAGTGTCAAATTGTCAACTTATACTGGAATTGTATTGCTTCTTAGGCCGATGGTTAGTATTTCAGGCTAGTACTTGATGTTTTTTGTCAGCTCATCTGGTATTTTTCACTTGATTAGACAAGCCTCATGTATTTTGGTGTTTTTAAATTTGGTTGTTGGATAGTTTTTCTAGTTACTGTTGCCTGATTTGATTATACGTCAACTGTCTCTGCTGCCTTTGTAAATCAGTGCAGAATGTTGTGTTTTCTTCATCTTGATTGGTATATGGCCATGTTACTCAAGCATGTCTTGGAGAATGAGTTTAATATTTGTCATGCTTTCCTTAAAGTTTACTGCCCTGTTTTGTGTCTTTTCCTGCCGTATGACTTCATGCTGATATATGTTGGTTTGACTGAAATATACAAAAAGAGGACTTGATTCTAAATTCCTTTTTCTTTTTTGTTTGGAGTGCAGTCGATCATCACTACTGAGACTGTCTCTGAAGCATCTCTGTCTTCTCTATTAGAGTACTTTTTTAACAGCCCTCCTGAATTGGAGGGTAACCGTGCTAAGCAGCTGGCTTGTAGGGTAAGCATTTTTACCTCAATTTTTTCGTTTCTTAGTGAATTCATACTAGCTATATAATTTAGGTTGGTTTGTGCTTTTGCTATCCTAGCATTTCGGTTTAGTTGCTAGCGATTAAGCAAGTAGAAGTCCTAATTGTATTTATGCCTGCTTGAGTTATATTATAGTTTTTGCAGGTTTTTTTTATAATTGATTGTTAATACAGGAATGTCTTGGTCCGGTGATTATCTCTCAATTTTTTATGCATGGAGCAACCGTACCAAGCTTATTAAGAATCTCACTACTTGTCTAAAGAAGAAAGATGATGATGTTGCCAAAATTATCTTGGAAGCACTGAGAAAGGTATGACTCATGAATACGGTTGGGTTTTTTGCTGTTTTTTTTTAATGACTATTAGTTTAGAGTTAAAATTGATGCTCGCTTGCTATATTGTTTTGATAGCAAGTGAAACTTTTATGTGAATACCATGGCAGCACGATTATCGTCTACAGTTGGGAGAATATGATCTTGGTCGGGATTGATTCTTGGTTGATCAGGCAATTTGACCGGATTATCAGATCAGCCGTCTGTCAGAAGTTTCATGCTGTAGTGGAAAACATCTACGTCACGGTCATACGACACTACATGGGATGCTTGATGAAATAGATTTTTTTGGTAAAACTTTGCTTTCATTGGATATTAATTTATGTTTATATATATATATATATATATATATTTTTTTTTTTTTTTTTAGTTTGTTGGCCTTTTTTTAATTATAAAATTTGTTTCTAGGTTAAGCATTGGGACGCAGAAGATTGCACAGTGGAGCAAGTGGCCTTTGAAGTAGGGGTGGGCACTTAGAACCGAAAACCGAAACCGAAACACGAACCAAATCGAACCGCACCAAATGGTTTGGTTTTGCGGTTTTGGAACGGTTTTGGTTTTGAAACCGAACCGCAACATAGAAAACGGTTTGGTTTCGGTTTTGGCTTTTGAAAACCGCATCGAAACCGAACCGCACCGCAAATATTAATAAACATTTAATTAAATGTCCATATTAAATTTCATGTTTTAATTGGTTGTTTGTTAGAATCCATGCACTTAGTATGGACACAACCACACTGGAATATCATCATTCATCACTTTCTTTCGTTCATTAACTTCAAGGACCTTTGTTATTTTATACCATCACACACACACACACACACACATATATGTACAAGGGTGGACTAATCTTGTTATCAAGAGTCCAACAATGATCTAATGAAGTCCACTCATTTGAAGCATGGTATCACATATTCTAGTATGAAAGTTTCACTCATGTTTAATGAATTCAAAGTTATTCAACTTGTTTTATGTTATACTTTGTACGGGACACCTTTTTGTTGCACAAACATATTTTAACATCACAACTGCATGCAACATGCTAATTGTTTATATAACAAATGTCTTTTTCCTATTGCTACTGGGAAATGTTTATTAATATGTTTAATTTCAAATTGTACATTTTTTCTTAAAAACCAAACCGAAACCGTTTGAAACCGCACCGAACCGAACCAAACGATTTGGTTTCATTTCGGTTTTGGCTTCAAAACCGCACCGAACCAAACCGCAAACAATTTTGGTTTCGGTTTTGGTTTCACTCAAAACCGCACCAAACCAAACCGTGCCCACCCCTACTTTGAAGTTTATGGCCTTGTTCCTTCTACAGGTTGTGAGGTCGAGTTTATGGTGGTGGGTTGAGACTATATCAGTCCCCACCCCAAATATACACCATGGTTACATCGGAGTTGCTCACTTGGATTGACGTTGTGGCAGCTACGGGCTCTGGATCTGAGTAGTAAGTATTAAATTATTATGTTTAAGGGTTAAGGTTTTTTTTGGATAGTGTGCAAGTAATTTTCGAGTTCCATGGCATGCAGCATTGCCATTGATGTCAACCGGATCGATAATATCGACGGCGGCTATCTCAGGTGTTTATATCATGCATTTACTATTGTGCATAATTTACTACATCGGGTAGCGTTCTATGATCACTCCATGAGGGTTAAAATTATTTGTGTGTGTATATATATATAGATATAGTAATAAAATGTAATTTTAGTTATTGGAATTGATTTAAATGTTTGTCATTAATTCCAAGGATTCTGTTGAGGATGAATCAAGTACTGCATTTGTATATTGGGGCAGTAAGGACGAATGACTCCATACCCATTTTAGTTACTCATAGTGTTTTAGTTCGTCCTTGCTGCCCCAGTATACAAAGTGTGGTACTTGATTCATCCTCAACAGAATCCCTGCAATTGATAACAAACATTTAAATCAATTCCAGTAACTAAAATTACATTTCATTGCTATATATACACACATAATTTTAAGCAAAACTTATGGAAAAATGCTTGAAAACTTTGAGTTTTAATGATAAAGACAAAATAAAGGGTAAAATGAATAGTATCATGTTTGACTTTTTAGTGTAAAAATGTAATTTTTCGTTAAAGTGAATAATACCGTGAGCTTTCGTTAAAACTCTTATAATTTTACCCATAAGTCCCCTCCAGTGGCGTGATCATAGAACGCTACCCGATGTTGTAAATCATGCAAAATAGTGAATGCTTGATATAAACGCTGAGGATAGCTACCGTCGATATTATCAATCCGGCTAACATCAATGGCAATGGTGCATGCCATGGAACTCGAAAATTACTTACATAGTACACCAAAAAAAAAACCTTAACCTTTGAACATAATAATTTGATACTTAATCCAGAGCCCATAGTTGCCGCAACGTCAATCCTAATGAGCAATTCCGATGAAACCGCAATGTTTACTTGGGGTGGGGACTGGTATAGTCCCACCCCATCACCATAAACTCTGACCTCACAGCCTGTAGAATGAAGAAGATCATAAACTTCAAAAGCCACTTGCTCCACTATGCGGCCTTCTGCATCCCAATGCGTAACCTAGGAACAAATTTTATAAAAAAAAAAGGTCAACAAACTAAAAAAAATACAAACATAAATTAATATCCAATTGAAGCAAAGTTTTACCAAAAACTCTAGTTCGTAGAGCATCCTCAACAACTTCATGTAGTGTCCTATGACCGTGACGTATATGTTTTCCTCTGTTGTATGGAACTTTTGACAGACGGCAGATCTGATATACCGGTCAAATTGTCTGGTCAACTGAGATTGATAACACCATTTTGATAGATGCAGAATCTGCACATGCTTTCAAATTTTCTACCATGGGTTTTTCGTTAAAACTTTTGTAATTTTACCCATAAGTCCCCTCCAGTGGCGTGATCATAGAACGCTACCCGATGTTGTAAATCATGCACAATAGTGAATGCCTGATATAAACGCTGAGGATAGCTACCGTTGATATTATCGATCCGGCTAACATCAATGGCAATGGTGCATGCCATGGAACTCGAAAATTACTTACATAGTACACCAAAAAAAATCCTTAACCTTTGAACATAATAATTTAATACTTAATCTAGAGCCCATAGTTGCCGCAACGTCAATCCTAATGAGCAATTCCGATGAAACCGCAATGTATACTTGGAGTGGGGACTGGTATAGTCCCACCCCATCACCATAAACTCGACCACACAGCCTGTCGAATGAACAAGACCATAAGCTTCAAAAGCCACTTGCTCCACTGTGCGGCCTTCTGCATCCCAATGCGTAACCTAGGAACAACTTTTATAAAAAAAAGGTCAACAAACTAAAAAAAATACAAACATAAATTAATATCCAATTGAAGCGAAGTTTTACCAAAAACTCTATTTCGTCGAGCATCCTCAACAACTTCGTGTAGTGTCCTATGACCGTGACGTATATGTTTTCCTCTATTGTATGGAACTTTTGACAGACGGCAGATCTGATATACCGGTCAAATTGTCTGGTCAACTGAGATTGATAACACCATTTTGACAGACGCAGAATCTGCACATGCTTTCAAATTTTCTACTCTTTCTTCGTCAATGCTAGTCTCTTGTTCCAAAGTGTACATAAGTTTGACGAAACGCCTGCAGAATGAACATAAGAAATTTGAAAGATTGTACCGGCGTAGCATATCATTGAAGGGAATCTGTGCCTCGCCGGTGAAATTTGTTATGAAGACCGTAAAAGAATGAGCATTTGATGTTAAGATGATTTTTAGATGTATAGGCAAATATAATTTAGTTTGATCAGATTTGTAAGAATAGCTATCATGATTAAAGCGAGAAATGAAGGAGCAGTTGATATATATTTTGAGATGGTTTGGTTACAAGTTTAGCAAACAAATTAACTTTTAGGAGTAGCCACGAGTTAACTTCTCATATGGAACATCGTTGGTTAAGACATTGTCACCTTTGCATCTTCAGTGGGATTCTATCTCCATTATGTTATATCGTTGGTTAAGACATCGTCACTTCTGCGTCTTCAGTGTTATCGCACAACTGGTGAACACTGGAGAAGTTGGTGATGGCAGTAGGCAAAGAAAAAGAAAAAACATGGGTAACAATGCAATTAATGGATTATATATTGCCAAACGCATAAATTACAAAATTTGACCTTTAAAAAATACAAGTGATATGACATGGGATGAAAAACACGTATACTTTGCTAGTGTACACAACAAGGTGCTGGTTGATACAACTTGAAAGTTTCATCTTCCAAGTTTCAATTTCTATGTTCATGGTTCATGGCTGTTTACACGGCTATGAAGCTCCAGCATCTCTTGATGGTTCGGGTCGACGGAGAGAGCCGCTCGACAGTCTCGCAAAGCACCCATGACATCTCCAACGTGCTCATGGAATGCCGCCCGTAAGTGCAGAAGGTGGAGGTCGGCTTTGAATGCAATTGCCCTTGATAGTTCTGCAATGGCCTCTGCTTCTTTGTGGCTATCCATTAACACTGTTCCCATCCAGAAAACAAAATTCCGCTTCATACAATTTGAAATGAAACCTTGATGATAATAATGTATGAGTGTTGAAGAACAAATGAAAAATCAAACCTGCAGCTCTATATCTGTAAGGGTACACCCGAAGCGGATCTAAGTGGGTCACCATCTCCAGATCAGTCTTTGTGAGTTCGCGATCACAATATTCGGACCTCTTCTCATAGGCAGATGCATTGTTCCGGGCCTTCTCAATCAGTTTGGTCATTTCCTCATACGCAGCTGGCTTGTCATTTCTGAGATGAACCCGAGCAAGGCCCTGGTGCGCTCGCGTATGCCTGATCTTAAGAGCACTTATGTAGCAATCAGCTGCCAAGTCTAACTTCCCGCAGTCAACATAAACACTTCCAAGGTTGTTGAGCGCCTGGTAAATGAAAAATTGAAGGATCCACAGAAAGGTTAGAACATGCTGAAACTAGCAGTCCATCCCCGCAGCAATTCAGGTTACGAAGATTTCCATGATTTGGTTAAAAAATACATACTTGACCTTTACGCAGCCTGTCTGATGGGCACTTCAAGGCATCTTCGAGGAGAGATACAACAGTTGATGAAGAGGATTGATCTTGGCTAGAGTCTGCCAGTGCATAGGCTTTCAAAAAGAAGGCCTCAAAGGATCGTTTAATTTTGATGGATTCCTCTGCTTTCTGGAGCCCTTCCTCACAATGTCCTGTATCGTATAAGATCCACCCCTCATAAACCAACTTTTCATGATCGCTGGATGCATGCTGACGAGCTAACTGTAAACTTCGCATTGCTGCCTCGGGACAGTTCAACCTGATCAAGTGGAGACATGAGATTTCTACTGACATTTTCAAGAGCAGAAAATAGTGCCACCAAAAGAATCATAGGGAAAAGTGCATGGGACCAAAGGCAGGTTTTCAGAACCTTAAAAGTTATTCAAAGGAAAAATCAGATCTTTACATTGTGATTCATCGAATTTGGCATCGGCACATTATACATACTCAAATAA